GGTTTTTGAAGTTCTTCATCGGCACCCGCTGTCTGCTTCTGAACCTCGGGGCCTTCGCTCCCCTCGAACTTTCACCGTCCAACTTTGCTCGCCGACGTACGAACGAATGTGAAGCAGGCTGGTCGAATTCCATGTGCACAGTTGTTCTTCTATCTCGTGGAACAGCTGTGTCAATCGATTGGGTTCGCTTGTAGTAGGGGCAGGCTGCTCCTGGGCCCGAGCGGGCGCAGGTGCTGAGGGGGGCCGATGCGGCTCTGCAAACTCCCCTGGCAGCTATTCCCCATGGGCCCCGAGGGGCGCAGGGGGAAGGGGGAGCCGAGCAAGCTCTGCAAACTCCCCCGCTGCAGTCTGCCCGCCCCTCTCGCCGTCGCTGTTGTCCACCTCGATGTCGGCGCCCATCTGCGCGCCCTGTGGCGGCAGCTCCTGCGCTCTCTTTCTTTCTCTCTCTCTCTCTCTCTCTCTCTCTCTCTTTTTTTGTTTGTTCTCTCTCTCTCGCTCTCTCTATTTCTATCCCTCTCTCCTTCTGCCGAAATTGTCCAACAGGCAGAGGGTCCTGGGGCGTGTGCGAACAATTGTTCACACATTGTAATCCTGGCAAGCTGGCATTTCCTGGCATGGGTGCGGCGGATCCGTTCTCTGCGTCTTTGGCTCGTCGTTTTTTTCAAGGTCACACTTCGATCTTCCATCGAAAATAGGAAAGAAACGACACAAAATATGTCCATCACCAGATCACGACCCAGTCACTCTAGAGAGGATCGCAAAGAGGTGGGGTATCGGAAGGGCTGCAGGGATTGTTATATTTTGTTATTCCTCCTTCTCCTCCCCTGGTCCGGGCAGAACAACTTGTGTGGCTGTCAGAGTCCGTCGTGTGAGGGGTGAATGAAAATCTTCCCTCCGTCGGGGCTTAATTTGCCTGAGCTCCAACGCAGGCTTGGAGGAGGAAAAGGAGGAGGAGGAGGAGGAGGAGGAGGAGGAGGAGGAGGAGGAGGAGGAGGGAGGAGGAGGAGGAGGAGGAGGAGGAGGAGGAGGAGAGGAGGAGGAGGGAGGAGAGGAGGAGGAGGAGGAGGAGGGAGGAGGAGGAGGAGGAAGGAGGAGAGGAGGAGAGGAGGAGGGAGGAGGAGGAGGAGGAGGAGAGGAGGAGGGAGGAGGGAGGAGGAGGAGGAGGAGGAGTGTCGGATGGTGTGAGCACTCCCGCCGCCAACTTCGGCCAGCAGGTATGCGCCTGATCCCCATGCAGCTGAACAGGTTTCCCTGTCGCTCCCTGCTGCAGCCCTGCTGCCCGTCGGCTGGTTGCTGTTGCAGTGTAACTTCGTGTCTTTAATGCCTCTGCTTTCTAGTATTGGTTGAACGAGGGGAAGGTGGGCTCTGAACTTGACCCGGCGTCAGTTTGTCACTGACCGCTGGCGTTTCGTCCATCATGCTGTACATATTGATCGACCCGCGGGATGCCGCCCAAATTGCATGTTTATCCTTTCGCCTGCTACAGCTCGGCGGCGAACTCCCAGCACTTTGAGGAGCCTGTCCTGTCTTGGTGGGGAGGGGCCACTGTGGGGGCTAAAGTGGTAGGGGGCGAAACAAATCCCGAGCGCCACCCCAACGCCCCCCCTCCCAGCAGGCAGCTCGGTACTCTCTCCAACCTCCAGCCCACCACTGCTCTCTATTTCTTGGTCGGTTGCTTCCTTTCCTGCATCACTGAGATGATGTGCCACACCTCTTGCGCTTCAGGTTCTGCGCAATGTTCGCTACTTATCCCTTTGCTGCTGAACCATGTCCAGCAGCGCAGTTAGTCTAGCGTTCCTCTGTTTGGGAGGTGGCCGCTGTGGTGGCGAAAATGGCAGGGGACGAAACAAACCCGAAACGCCATCCCAGCGGACCCTGCCAAGCCATCAGTCGCAACACCCCCCGGTCCGCCACCATCCGTATCGTGGAACTTGTGTGAAGGATGAACGGCGGCGGCCATCTTGTTTCTCTAGCTCGTGCACGATAGTGCTGGCAGCGAGATCATCTGTCATCGGGCGACGCTGTGCATGTAATTCGTTCCCTCCCTGGTCTCGTTATTTACCATCGTGCTGATATTCGTCTCTCTGGTGGTCCGATTGCTGTTGGTCTTGTCTCTGTGCTTTTCATCCTTGACCATCAGCGCCTTCAGCTTGCAGGCCGTGGAAGCGGGCCTTGCGGCGGGCGTGCAGGCGTGCGTGCCCGCTACCTGATTCTTCGAGCCTTCGCTCTGCGGCTTGCCAGAAGGAAAAAGGCTGAGGAGGACGAGGAGGATGAGCTCCCTTTGGGTCAACGGCCAGCCCCCGCTTGCTCCAACCACATTCCTCGGGAAGGAGACACGTCCGTGGGGCACCCGCTGACGTTCCAGCTTCTCGCTTTGCCAGCCCAGATGTGCTTTTTCGGTGCTTGCGCTTCACGGCCTCCTGCCATCGGGGTGAGGGATGAGGCAAGCGGCTCAGCATCACGGGCGGGGCAGTCGGTGGCCTCCCGCCCCCGCGCGAATCGCCCTCCCCCCCCGCCCACACGAACGGCGCGGTGGCAGACGGGCGCGGTAATGCTGCTGGGTCCAAGAGGCGGAGACGCCGATGCGAACTGCGGCGGGCTCGTGCCGCGACGACCTGCGCGGTGGCCTCCGACACCGCGCGGGTCCCCCAGCCCTGCGCGATCGCAGCTGTCCGATCGCGCAGGATCGCTCGATCTCGGCCGACTCCTCTGGCTACTGCCGGCGTCAAACCTTGAACTTCCGCGCTGGGGTCGCCATCGTATCGTCAGGGCACGGTCCTGCCGGGTGTGAATTAGAGACCGAGGGCTAGATGACGGCTGGAAGCGCCAGTCTCTTATCCTGGTGATGTGGAGATCCAAGATAGTAACATCCAAAACGCAGCTGGGAACCCTCGTAATAAATATCTGAGACAAGCTGAGGTGGCCAGGGCTGCAAATTTTGGCTGGGGCTGGAACAGACCCTGACACTGCTGAGATAAGTTAAACTTCGATTTCCAATAGAATTCCGGAGGACAACCTAAGACAAACGGTACAACAATTCAGGAACACTGAGCCCTTCCCCAACGAAAAGGGTTCCTTCTTCAGCGTCCCGACTGTACACGAAATGGCTGCGACAAGAGCGGCGCGCTGGCCCCGGGCAGCGCTCTCGAGCTTCCCTGTGCGCTTGGGCAGCGGCACCCCATCCGATTGAAGATGACAGTTTGATGCCTCTCGAGCGAGTGGTGATGGGGGTGACCTTAATGGGGGTTGAAGAAAAGGGCCCTCAAGGGGCCCTCTTGCCGTCCCCCATGCAGGTCACCCCCCATCATCACCCGCCCGGGCCTCGACCTGGGAGAGCACGGTTCACTCGAAGATGAAAAATAAACATAAGCATGAACTTCGACGGCCCGCGCGGACCGCCAACACTTTACGCTTATGCCGTTTTTTGTTCTTCGATTCACGGGCCCGACTTGCGTCTGCCCCCCCCCCCCCCGGACTTCGGGCCCCGTGCTCTTCTTCCACGACGCGTGCCCTTGGGGCTCTCGGCCCCCCGCCCCCCGAGGCCGGTTTTCTCGCTGTCGCAGGCAGGTCTGTGAGCCGCCCGGCGTCCGAGACATGTACAGGCGCCCTTCGCGCGCTTTCCCACGGCGCCGGAGGTTTGGGCCCCGCGACGATACAGTCGGGGCGTTGACCTAGGGAACCCCAAGTAAGGAACGAGGCCCCTTTTTTCCATAAGTTGAGCGTCGAATTCTGATCGAAGACCTAAGGAACACCTAGGGCGAGCTGCAAAACAACTGAGGAACACTGAGCCCCTCCCAAACGAAAAGGGCTCCTTCTTCAGCGCCCCGACTGTAGCGACTCAGCATGGTCCTTCCGGGTTGGCTACAGTCGAGGCGCTGAAGAAGGAACCCTTTTCGTTTGGGAGGGGCTCAGTGTTCCTTAGTTGTTTTGCAGCTCGCCCTAGGTTTTCCTTAGGTCTTCGATCGGAATTCGAAGCTTAACTTATGGAAAAAAGGGGCCTCGTTCCTTACTTCGGGTTCCCTAGGTCAATGCCCCGACTGTATCGGGTCCCCCGTCGGCGTTCGCTGGGCGATTGGGTGGGGGTCGATGCGTCCCCCCTGGAGCCCGCGGCCCGGAATCTTTGCTTCGCGTGTCGCAGCGGCGGCCACGGCGACGCGCTGTGCCCTAGACCCCCTCGCGCTGCGAACAAACATCCCGACGTTTTTGCGCCCCCCCTCCTCCCTACTCCTCCTCCTCCTCCTCCTGCTCCTCCTCATTCTCCTCCTCCTTCTCCTCCTCCTCCTCCCCCTCCTCCTCCCCTTCCTCCTCCCTTCCTCTTCCTCCTCCTCCTCCTCCTCCTCCCTTCTACCTCCTCCTCCTCCTCCTCCTCCTCTTCCTCCTCTTCCTCCTCCTGCTCCTCTGCCCGCGGAGAGTCGCTCCGCTCCGCGGGCGGAGAGGGCTGGGAGAGGCTCGGGACGTCGACGGCCGGGAAACGGGACGTGGATGGCGTGTCACGCCGAGGCGTGGGGGGCCAGAAACGGCGGAGCGATGCGCTGGGCTTAAGTCGGGCCCTACAGGCGTATTGTAAGCAAAAAATCATCAACACTCAAAAAAAACACTCCCCCAAGGCCCCAAAATAGTCAAAAAATCGTCCCCGGACTATTTGTCGACTATTTTTGAATATTCCTCCTGTAGAGGGACAGGCCCGACTTAACGCTAGGCCAAAGTTCCTGACCTCTGGAAGCGGCTGGGGGGGGGGTCTGACTTGGCCGGGGCCCGAGGCACTGGGCCAGGAGGGGAAAAGGATCCGAATCCACTCAAGATGCTCAAGATCGGTCCCTGGACCCCTCCTGGGGTACATCTGGTGCAGAGACAAAAACTTCGTCGAATTCAGAACCTCGAACAACCTCCTCCCCCCTTTCCTGCTCGCCGGAAACATTGCTGGACCAGCCCAGACCCTCAGCTGGCTCCAACCTGACGGTGTCCCCCCCACCACAACGGTGCCCCTCGCCAGTGCAGGCCTCCAGGTCCATCACCTCCGCTGCCCCACCAGCCGCCGAGCCGCCTCGGTCGTGGCCGAGGGGCCGGCGAGGAGGCCGACAGGAGAGGGGGCCAAAAGAATAGCCATATGAAGCCCTTGAAATAGCAGAGGAAGCCGTGCGGACACAGGAAACCGTGCGGATAACAACGCAGAGGGAACCAAGTGGCTACAGAGGAAACCGTAACGCCTTTGGGTAGGCACAGGAAGCCTCTGGAATAGCAGGAGTCAATGAAATAGCAGAGAAAACCATTGCCATAACAGAGGAAGCCATTGCAACCATTGCACCCGTTCGGGGCAACATACAGTGGAGGAAGCCATTGCAACCAATCGGGGCAGAACAAACGGTGCGCAGTGGACCCGTTCTCTGGGGATGAAGCCAGGACTCCTATAGGCACGCCTGTCGAGCGGGGCAGGCCCTGCATGCATCCAAGGCCCTGCCCTCCTCGGGGGCGCGCGGTCGCCAAATCCATGGATCGGCGGATGTGCCCTCTTCAAAATCCGGCCATTGCCGCCTCGCTCTTTCCGATGGAAACGGGACCCGTCGCTAATCAACACTCCCTTGATCCATGTTTGCGATCGCCTGACCTTCGTGTCCATCGGTTGGCCCAGACCATCAAGCGTCTTGATCAGCCCCAGCCACCGTCAGGCGAGCTGCCTGGCGCCCCCGCCGCTCCTGGCAAGCTCTTCTTGCAACGACCAGTGAAGAAGAAGGGGGAGGAGGAGGAGGAGGAGGAGGAGGAGGAGGAGGAGGAGGAGGAGGAGGAGGAGGTGAGAGGAGGTGAAGGAGGAGGAGGAGGAGAAGAAGCAGGAGGAGGAGGAGGAGGAGCAGGAGGAGGAGGTGAAGGAGGAGGAGGAGGAGGAGGAGGAGGAGAAGGAGGAGGGGGTCCCCCTCCGATCCAACTGCTAACTCGTCGTGCCTTTTTCCTTTCCTGGTCGTCCTCCTCCTCCACAACTTCCAACGCCTTGTTCCTCCTCGGGGACCAAAGGACAGCCAACCAATACCCCCTCGACAAGAACAACGACGGGACATTTCCAGCCGCTTTCGGCCTCCGGGGACCCGGGACGGAACACGGGTCCTTGGTAAGGGGTCGCTGCCCCTCCTCCTCCTCCTCTTCCTCTCGTCGTCCTCCTCCTCCTCCTCCGTCCTCCTCCTCCTCCGCCTCCTCCTCTCTCCTCCCTCCTCCTCCTTCCTCCTCTCCTCCTCCTCCCCTCCTCCTCCTCCTCCTCCTCCTCCTCCTCCTCCTCCTCCTCCTCCTCCTCCCCTCCTCCGCCTCCTCCTCCTCCTCCTCTCCTCCGCCTCCGCCTCCTCCTCCTCCTCCTCCTCCTCCTCCTCCTCCTCCTCCTCCTCCTCCTCCCCTCCTCCTCCCCTCCCCCTCCGCCTCCTCCGCCTCCTTCCTCCTCCTCCTCCTCCTCCTCCTCTTTCCCCTCTTCTTCTCCTCCGCCTCCTCCTCCTACTCTCCTACTCCTCCTCCTCCTCCTCCCCTCCTCCTCCTCCTCCTCCTCCTCCTCTCCTCCTCCTCCTCCTCCTCCTCCTCCTTATCTTCCTCCGCGCTGTGAGAACCTACTGGGGAGGGATGGAAAGACCGCCAAGGTCCAGCGTCCAAACCAAGGCCCGAAAGGAAGCCGTTTGAAACAGTGCAGGCGGCATCCTCCGGAAAATTGGGAGGCACCTGGGTCGGGGGGAAGACGGAAAAGGAGGTAGGGGGGTCGGGCAGCAGTGAACGCCTCCTCCTCCCCTCCTCCGCCTCCTCCTCCTCCTCCTCCTCCGCCTCCGCCTCCGCCTCCGCCTCCTCCTCCTCCTCCTCCTCCTCCTCCTCCTCCTCCTCCTCCCCTCCTCCTCCCCCTCCCCCTCCGCCTCCTCCCTCCTCCGCCTCCTCCTCCTCCTCCTCTCTTTCCCTCTTCTTCTCCTCCTCCTCCTCCTCCTCCTCCTCCTACTCCTCCTCCTCCTCCCCCTCCTCCTCCTCCTCCTCCTCCTTATCTTCCTCCGCGCTGTGAGAACCTGCTGGGGAGGGATGGAAAGACCGCCAAGGTCCAGCGTCCAAACCAAGGCCCGAAAGGAAGCCGTTTGAAACAGTGCAGGCGGCATCCTCCGGAAAATTGGGAGGCACCGGGGTCGGGGGGAAGACGGAAAAGGAGGTAGGGGGGTCGGGCAGCAATGAACGCCTCCTCCGCCCTCCTCCTCCGCCCTCCTCCTTCCTCCCTCCTCCTCTTCCTCCTCCTCCTCCTCCCTCCTCCTCCTCCCTCCGCCTTTTTCCTTCCTCCTTTTTTTCCTTGCTCCTCACTCCTGCTCTCCTCCCCTGCCTCCTCTTCGTCCTCCTCCTCCTCCTCCTCCTCTTCGTCCTCCTCCTCCCTCCTCTTCCCACTTCCCCCTCGCCCCCCACCACGCGAAGCCGTGACCAAAGGTCCGACGTCATGGCTGCCCTCAAACCTGACAATCCCGACCTTCCCTGGGGCCGAGATTTTACCCGAACAGTTCTCTGACCTCCCCCAAGTGACCCGAAAACTGCGAAACACCTCCGCCTTGGGCCCGTGGTCGTGCAGAAGGCCCCCTCCTCCTCCTCCTCCTCCTCCTCCTCCTTCTCCTCCTCCTCTTCCCTTCCTCTTTCTGCATCTCGTCCTCATCCTCTTCCCCTGCTCCTGCCTCCCTTTCCCTTAATCAGTACCCTGACGGTAAGTCTCCACATGGGAACCTCCCAAACTAATTTGGGCATGAACCTCATCGTCGTCCTTGTGAGTGCAGCGTCTCTTTCGTCTCATCATCGCTCTTCTACTAGTTCGCCCTGGCGGAGGCCCCCTTCGTGCCCCCATGCGCTGCCTCCTCCTCGTCCTCCTGCCTCTTCTTCCCCACCCACCTCCCCTCCTTGTCCTCCTCGTCCTCGTCGTCCTCCTTGTCCTCCTCGTCCTCGTCTTCCTCGTTCTCCTCGTCCTCTCCCGCCCCTATGGAAAGGGCGCGCAAGTAGATTTTGGCGCCTATGCCGCCACGGCCGGCACCGGCGGGTTTCCCGATGGTCAGAGCGCGAGGCCGCCGGGGCAACCCCGTGGGCTAGGCCGTTGAAGCAACCCTTCGAGACGCTAGGGCGCGGGAGCAAGCCGTTGGGACAACCCCGCAGGTCTCGAGCTAGTCGCGGCCGCGCTCAGGCGGGAGGCAGCGCGAAACCCAGCTCTGCAGTGAGGTGCTCCGCCTCAGCCCTGGAGCTCCCCGCTTTCTGGTCGAACAGCCTGAGCGACTTCCGCGGGGAAGCAGGCGGCCCGCTCCAGGATCTCTCGCCCTGGCGGCCGCAGGGTCAGCATGTTCCGCATGCGCTTGTTCGCCATCCGCTGGCAGGCGAGACTCCCGCTCGAGACTGCCGCCGTATTCATGCTTCAAGAGGCCAGAAGTGACAACAATCCCAGAGCTCCGATGACCTGCTCGGATTGGTAACGTGATCTGCGGGCCCCATCTGGAGGGTGCTCTCGCCTGAGCCTTCCTCGCCGTTCAATCAAAGACGGGGCTCTCGCTAGAACTTTTTGTTCAGTACTCAAGCTTGTGGAAGCCATAAGTGATGACAGTTACACGACTCCAATGGTCCGATCAGGTGAATAACATGAGCTGCGGGCCCCATAGGGAAGGGGCTCCCGCCTCAAACTTTCTCGCAATTCGCTCTGAACCAAAGTTCCCGATCTGGGCTTCCGCCATATCCAGGATTGAAGAACCCAGCCGTGAAGACAGTTACAGCAATCCGATGGCCCGCTCGGATGGATAACGTGAGTTGCGGGTCACATAAGGAGGAGGGTCCCACCTGAGCCTTCCCCGATATTCGCTCAAGCGAAGCTCCTGCTCGAGACATATGAAATATCCCGGGCTGAGGCGCCCAAACGAGCGGACAGTTACACGATTACGTTGGCCCGCTCGGATTAATAACGTGAGCTGCGGGCCCCATCGGGAAAAGAGTCCCGCCCATTGAGTCCTCGCAATTCACTCTCACGCGAGGCTCCCGCCCGAGACTGCCGCCATATTCAAGATTGAAGAGCCCCAAAGTGACGACACTTATGCGAATCCGATGGCCCACTTTGATGAATAACATGAGCTGCGGGCCCCATCGGGAGGAGGGTTCCACCTGAGACTTCCTCAAAATCCACTCACAGACGAGGCTCCCGCTTGAGACTTCCGCCATATTCGAGCTTCAAGAGGCCAGGCGTGACAATGGTTTTAGGGCTGTGATGGCCCGTTCGGATTGATAACGTTAGCTGCGGGCCCCATAAGGGGGAGGGCTCTCGCCTGAGACTTGCTCGCAATTCACTCACAGTCGCGGCTCACGCCATACATTTTTTCAAGACTCAAGCTTTGAAAGGCCAGACGTGACGACAATTACAAGAATGTGATGGCCCATTCGGATGAATAACGTGAGCTGCGGGCCCCATTGGGAGGAATGCCCCGCCTGAGACTTACTCAAACTTCACTCACAAACGAGGCCCCCGCTCGAACCGCCCGCCATGTTCAGGACTGAGGAGCCCAAACATCAAGACACTTACAGGCATCCGATGACCCGCTCGGATTAATAACATGAGCTGCGGGCCCCGTAAGATAGGGGCTTCCGCCTAAGAATTCTTCACACTTCATCCACAAACGAAAATCTCGATCTGGACTTCTGCATTACTCTGGACTGAGGAGCACACAAGTGGTGACACTTACACAACTCCGATGGCCTGGTCGGATTGATAACATGAGCTTCAGGCTCCATACGGTGGAGGGTCACACATGAGACTTCCTGGCAATACACTCACACGCGCGGCTCCCGCTCGACACTTCCGCCATATTCTGGACGGGGGACGGCACATGTGACGACGGTTGCAAGGGGTCCGATGATCCGCTCGGATTAATAATGTGAGCTGCGGGCCCCATAAGCAGGGGATTCCCGCCCGAGACTCGCTTGCAATTCACTCACGAACAATGCTCCCGCTCGAAGCTTCCGCCAATTCCAAAACTGAATGACGCAAATCTGATAACACCTACATGCAGCATTCCGATGACCAGCTCTGATTAATCCTGTGAGTTGCAGGCTCCAAAGGGGAGAAAGGAGCTCCTGCCTGGGACTTCCTTGCTTTTCACTCACAGACGGGGCTCCCGCTCGAGAATTTCGACATGTTAGAGATTGAGGAGACCAGAAGTAACAACAATTCCAAACTGCCGATGGACCATCCTGATTAATAACGTGATGCTTGGGCCACATAAGGAAGGGGCTCCCGCCTGCGACTTCTTTACAACTCACTCACAGGCGAAGCTGCCGCCCAAGACTTTCTGCATATTCCAGGCTGAACAACCCAAACCTGGCGACAATTACAAGGTTCGGTGGCCCGTTCGGATTAATACCGTGAGCTGCGTGCCCCATAAGGAGGAGGGTCCCACCTGAAACTCCCTCGCAATTCACTTGTTGACAAGGCTCCCGCTCGAACTTTCCGCCGTCGCCAAGACCCAAGACCGAAGAACCCAACCGCAACGATAGTTACAGGAATCCGATGGCTGGATTAACAACATGCGCTGCGGGCCCCATGGTGTGTGTGTGGGTCCAGCCTGAGACCTTCTCGCAATTCTTTTGCACACGCTTGGGGCTTCCCAATCCTGAATATGGCGGCGGCCGCGAACGGGGCCCTTGCTTGTGAGCGCTTTGCGAAGGCAAGAGCCCCCGCCATTGGGGCCCGCAGCTCATGATATAATCCGAGCGGGTCATCGGAATCTTGCAACTGTCGTCAACTTGAAGCTTCTCAGTCTTGGATGCGGCGGAAGTGTCGACCGGGAGCCAGATTCAAGCTTGATGGCCTCAAAGGTGACGACCGTCACAATCGATGCCCCGCTCGGATTGATGACATGAGTTGCGGGCCCCAGAATGTGGAGGGTCACACCTGAGACTTCCTCGCAATTCACTCACACGCGAGGCTCCCGCTCGCAACTTCCTCCACACTCAGGACTGAATAACCCAACAATGTAGACGGTTATAAGGTTCCGATGGCTGGGTGGGATGCACAACGTGATCTGCGGGCCCCATAGGGAGGGGGCTCCCATCTCAGACTTCCTCGCAATTCACTCACAGACGAGGCTCTCGCTTGAGACTTCATTCATATTCGGGCAAGAAGAACCCGAAATCGACGACAAATTCACGAATCCGTTGGCCCGCTCGAACTAATAACATGGGCTGCGGGCTCCATAAGGGGGGGGGGGGATCCCGTTTGAGACTTCCTTGCAGTTCACTCACAAACGAAGCTCCTGCCTGAGACTTCCTCATATCAATGTCTACATATGCGTGTTTAGGGGGCGATGATGATAGTGGTGATGTCAAAACAATGATGGTGAGGATGATGATGATGATGATGATGATGATGATGGCGAAGGGATAATGGTCATGGCGAAATCATACCCGTGATGGTGATGAGCATGTTGATGGTGATGGCGATGATGGTGATCGTCGTGATTCCGATGCTGAATATGATGACGGTGATGATGATGAACATGTATGTTCCGCTGACACACGCCCATGAGATGGGTGTGTGTGTGTGTGGGGTGAGTGTGTGCGATGATGATGATGATGATGATGATAGTCGATGAGGATTGCATCTTGGTGATGGTGACGAGGATGATGGTGGTGAGGAAACGAGGGGGAAGGGGGAGATGACATCATGCGCGGGGAGCGTGCGGAGAAAGGACCCCCACTAGACATGGGGAAAAACACTCACGTGTGGCTCCGGCCTCAGCGCCGCGCGCCTTCGTCCTCATCGTCTGCAGCAGTTTCGCGGGCTCAAGGGGGGCCGCATTGAAGATGTGGCTCTCCTCGGCCTGACGCACAGTCGTCTGACATGTTGGGGACATCTTCGTGGATGGAATGGGGGTCGTTTTCAAAATGGTGCTCATGCTGGACAGGCGCGCGCGTTCGCTTTCAAAGCTGGCGCTAGCCTCGCGGCTGGAAGGCGGTTCTTTTTAAACATGGGGCTATCGCCTTCGCGCCGCGTGAATCCCACCAGCCCCCTGGGCGTCTGTGGTTTAGGGCGTTTCCTCTTCCACCCTCCTTCTTCCCCATCGGGGAAGGGTTTATCACTGTTCCCAATTAATAAACACCCCCTCCCCCAGGCGACTGGGGGCCAACCAGGGTCCATGCCACCCCCCCCACCACCCGTTGTAAAAAAAACAGCGCAAAACACACTCTGCCTCCAAATTCGGAACATGCGCAGCCCACCCGATGCGGCCCCCCCCCCACCATCCCTGTCAAAAACAATACAGGGTACACTTGGCGGCGGCGGCGGCTGCGGAGGCTGCGACGGCGGTAGCGGCGGTAGCGGCGGCTGCGGCGGCCGCGGCGGCGGCGGCGCCGGCGCCGGCGGCGGCGGCTGCGGCTGCGGCGGCAGCGCTAGCGGTGGCGGCAGCGGCTGCGGTTTGGCAGCGGGGGGCGGCGGCGGCGGCGGCGGCGGCGGCGGATTGGCCCCCCGTAGCTGCCCATCCAAAGACGACTGCTGAATATGCTGAGCCTCGGGCCAGACTCGGGTGCTACGTGTGTGTTGGGAGGGCGGGTGGGCGTGAGCGAGGCGGCTTGCGGGCGGGGAGGGGGTGACTTGACCCCTCTCCCTACCCCCGTCCCCGCGGGCCTGGGTGGGGGGGGGGGGGGCCGCGAGGCGTCAGAGTGTTCAAAACGGCCTCGGCGAGGAAGCATAACTCATAGATTTACAAAAGGTTTTGGCCCCATTTTGGCCTCCTGGAGGGGCAAGGCTAATTAATGCTTCGCACTTCTTTGATAGATCTCCTCCAAGAGGGCCCCAGGAAGCGCCCAGGAGGCCCCAGGAGGTCCCAATGTGGCCCCAAAGTGGCCCCAAAAGGCCCCCGGGAGGCCCCAGGAGGCACCCCAAAGACCTCCAATATTAAGCCCCAAAATACCCCCCAGAGGCACCCCAAATGCTCCAAGAGGCCCTGGCGAGAATGCCAAAACGGCCTCGGCGAGGAAGCCAAAATCATTGGTTTTACGTGGTTTTGGCCCCATTTTGGCCTCCTGGGGGGGGCGCTAATTAATGCCCCCCCCCTCTTGTTTGATCGATCTCCTTCAACATGGCCCCAAGAAGCGCCGAGGAGGTTCTTTTCTGTGTGTTGAAACGCAGCAGGGTGCCACGCTCCTGGCTGCTTGGAAATTGATAGACAAGTCAAGCAGAAAAACAGCGTGCGACCCAGGCGGCCGCCGGTCAGCGAATTCTGGCGGGGGCGCGGGGGCTCTCCACGCCGGCGAGAGCGGTGCAGGTGCGACCACACGGACCACCAAGACCACCACCAACCAGGGACCCAGCGGGGGGCGGAGGGGCGGAGGGGGCAGGGTCGTCGCGTGCTCGCCGACGTCTGGTCCGCCGCGTACGCCCCGAAGCCGCCTCGTCGCAGGGCCACCGTCTCCCCGTCAAGGTCTGGGCCGCCGCGGGCTGGCCAGAGTCGGGCCGCCGAGGGCTGGGCGGAAGTGGCGTCGCCGCAGGTCCCGCCGCCGTCGGGGGGTCGTCGGGGAGGGGGCCGCCGCGGGGTGGGGGGGTGTCGTCCTCGAAAGCGTCGGCGTCGTCGTCGGAGCCAGGCTGTTGGCCGCCGTCGTTGCCTGGAACCCTCGGGTCGTTGCCGCCGGGGCCGCCGCCGGGGTCGCCGCCAGGGCCGCCGCCGCCGGGGCCGCCCCCGGGGCTTCTGGGAACCTCCCACGCCGCCACCACTGCCGCCGCCACAGCCAGCGTGTCCGTGGAGCCCGCGCAGTAAGCCTGGGTGGGAGGGGGAGGAATGGCCCGCAGGACCTCGAGGCCGAGGCGGCAAGCCGCAACCTGCAGCCGTGCCCGGTGCTCAACCGAGGGCCCGGCCCGCACCGTGATCCACCCGGATTTGGCCGTAACCCGGGGCTGGGCCCCCCCACCAGTTCGCAGGGATGCCGACCTCGGCGCCGAGGCGGGCGCGGGCCTCAGCGAAGCGAGGGCATGCTGCCCATAGGTGCCGAGCTGAGCAGAGCAGCTCTGGGCACCAAGGGCATGCCTTAGCGTACTTGCCGCGGCCGTGGCGGGTGGGGGTCCGGGCAGCCCCGCCCCGCCACACGCTGAGCAAAGACCGAGACTGAGGGCCAAGGAGGTCCCAAGAGGTCCCAGGATGGCCCCCAGATGGCCACAAGAGGCCCCCAAGAGGCCCCCAGGAGGCCCCCAAGATACCCCCCAAAGGCCCCAAGAGACCCTCCAGAGGCACCCAAGATGCTCCAAGAAGCCTCGGCGAGAATGCCAAAACGGCCTCGGCGAGGAAGCCAAAATCATTGGTTTACAAAAAGGTTTTGGCCCCATTTTGGCCTCCAGGGGGAGGAATACTCCCCTCTTGTGTGATCGATCTCCTCCAAGATGGCCCCAAGAAGCGCCCAGGAGGCCCCAAGAGGTCCCAAGATGGCCCCAAGATGGCCCCAAGAGGCCCCCGAGATGCCCCCGGGAGGCCCCCAAGAGACCCCCAAGAGGCCCCAAGAGACCCCCCAGAGGCACACAAGATGCTCCAAGAGGCCTCGGCGAGGAAGCCAACATCATTGGTTTTATTAAAGTTTTAGCCACATGTTGGCTTCTTGGGGGGGAACACTGATTAAGATGACTCCAAGAGCGCCTGGTAGAGGCCAAGATGACCTCCAAGATGGCTCAAAATATCCCAAGATGTCTCGTACTGGCGTCCTCTGTGTGCTGCCCACTTCCCTGATCCAGGCAATTCCTCTGGGCATCGTTCTGGATGGGCTGGTGGGGATTCTTTTTGTCGCAACCGCAGGCGAAGGCGCCAGCGGCGAGTCGAATCGGCTCGGGCTACGAGCGGAACTAATTGCCGGCATTGCCGGCGCGCGCGCGGAGCAAAGCAGGACCTACCGCCGGGGGAAGCGGCTGCGCCGAAGCTGTGCAGCGGCGCCGGGGGTGGGGACTGCAAGCTGCTGGGGCTGCGAAGAAGCTGCAAACGTGCGAATACCATGGGAGCTGAATCGCCAGGTATGCGAATTAACCAACCAGGGTTGGGGCGCAGCCAAAATGGCGCGGGGGTCGTACCAGGATGTGGCCAGGGAGGCAACCAGGCAGTACACTGCGTCAGCTGCCATGGGTGGATCAACTGGCCCTAAGCTGGTGCGTAGGGTGGCGCTACTAAAGTCGCACACCAAACCTCCTGAAGGGAATACTGATCCAGCAAACGACCGTCCACGGGGTGGTCCCGGTGCTGGTGGGGATTCGCGAAGCGTCAACAATTCGTCTTTACTGCAACGTTTAGCAGGATGGAGGACTGCTCCTTTTCAACGTGGAGTTCTCGCCTCAGCCTTCCTCGAATTCAAAGGTCCGGAGTTTCAACGCACGTAACGCTACACGGATCCACGGCAGCTCGTTTTCAAGATGGAGCTGTCGCCTGAGACTTCCTCGGGTATCATGACCACCAGAGTAAACATTTGCAATGCTTTCACAAGTGTGGGGGGGTACTTATTCGAAAGGGGAATGTCGCTGGACGTCTCGTCGAAATGTGAAATGCTGAAAGGAAGACTTGTCGGAACGTGTGAGGAGGGGACCTGGGATGGGAGGGTGTATTGTAGCATCGCTTCTGCATCTTTGGCTTGCTGTGGTGCTCTTTCTCTTCCTCCCTTTCTCCTTCCCTCCTCCTCCTCCTCCTCCTCCTCTTCTTTTCCTCCTTCTTCCCTCCCTCCCTCCCTCCCTCCCTCCCTCCCTCCCTCCCTCCTCGTGGGGGTCGAAGCTGCCCTGGGGGGGGTCGGGCCCGCGGAGGCACCGGAGGCCTCCCCTCCCCCCAAGAACTCCTCTGGCCGCCGCGCCCGCCGCGGGGGCCGCGGTGCCCGCGCCAGCGGGGACGCCCGCGCCTCCCGCCGCGGCCTTCGGCCGGGTGGGGGGAGGAGGGGTGGGAGCATTGGGGGGGGGGGAGAGAGGGACGCAAGTCGCCCACGATGTCCCCGTTTTCCCCCATCTCCTAAGCATCGGGTCCTTGTCATTCGTGTGACGCCTCCGCCTCACTTCCTCCTCTTACCCCGCCCCGCTCACGCTGAGACTCGCTCACGCCCAGGTTCGCTCACACGTGAACTCACTCACATTCAGACTCACGCTCAGACATACTCATACTCAGACTCAACAATCAGGCTCACTCCTAGTCAAATGCACCCATACTCAGGTACTCAGATCTGCTCATACTCGGACCCTCTTGTTACACTCAGACTCATACGCAGTCATAATCACTCACACTGAGACTCATACTCAGACTCATCCGCACAGACCGCTCACGCTGAAGTTCGCTTCGCATTCAATTTGTGAGGATGTCTCGGGCGAGGTGCTGGTTTCGCCGACAAGGGTCAGGACATCCGCCCGTTCGCGCCCAGCTAATGGGGATTTTATTAGGCGGTTTGCCTGTTTGGTGGCTTGGACTTCGATGCTTCCATCTGTAACAGAATGTGAGGATATTTCGAGCACGGCGCTGGCTTCAGTACCCCAGGCAGCCAGATCGTTCGCGAGGACGTATCGAGCGAAGCGCTCGGCTTTGCACCTCCGACTCCTGTCCATTCAGAATCCCACGTTCACTCCGACAGGCATGAGGGGAAGGACGGCCGCCAAGACCCGAGGAGGGAGGAGGGAGGAGGGAGGAAGGAGAAGGACGCAGGAAGAGGGACAAGGGATGAGGGAGGCAGAGCAGGGAGGGAGTACGATGAGTAGTACGAAGAAAGAGGAGGGAGGGGGCCTGCTTACCACGTGTCTGTCTGTGCGGTGTCGTCGTCGCTGTCTCTCATCGCAACCGCCGGCGTCGTCGTACTCATCGTCCAGTCGGACTCGCTCTCACACCCTGACGCTCACGGCCAGGCACTCACAACGGGACGTGCCAGAACATTAAATATACGTATGGGAATCTCCGCGTCGAATAATTACAATCCTGCCTGTGAGGCCTGATATCGGGCTGCAGGGCTACCAAGAGCTTCCTCTCAGTGATAAGGTTCACTAAACTTTCCGCAAGCAGGTCCAGGAACTGGACACCGCAGCAGTCCAAATTATTCATCGGATTACTCAATCGGTAGGAGCGACGGGTGGTGTGTACAAAGGGCAGGGACGTCATCGGCACGAGCTGATGACTCGCGCGTACTAGGAATTCCTCTTCACGATCTATCCCCATCACGATGCGATTTAAAAAGGTTACCCAACCTTTCCAGGCAAGGTCATCGGGCGTGGACTGAACAAAAGTATCGAAGGATGTCTGGGGAGGCATGAATGAGGAAGGAGAGGGTTGGAGGAGAACTTTATGATGTTTTTGGCAAACGATCATGGTCGTCTGGGTCAAACATGCAACCGGCATTGAAGCGAGAGCTCGGCCATGTGCACCTCCGTGATCTTGTTACGTGGGATCGTAGCCATCTGAACCAAGAGTGTACCCGGCAGTGGGGCGAGGACCGGATTCAGTAATACATTGTGAGGAAATCTCAAGCGAAACTGCCGCCAGGCCGTGCCAGACCAGACGTCCTCGGGCTCCCCGTCATTTTCTTGTTTCTGTATTTATATTTTTCTTTCCCCCCACGAGAGCCCTATAGAGAAACGTTGTTAGGAGATGATTGTGGTGACTATGGTGGTGATGACATGAAGTGAAGGCGGAGTGGCGATCAGGGTGGGTGTGGATGATGATGATGATGATGGTGCTGCTGATGCTGATGCTGATGCTGATGCTGATGCTGATGCTGATGCTGATGCTGATGATGATGATGATGATGATGATGATGATGATGATGATGATGATGATGATGATGACGATGGCGGTGGTGGTGGTGGTGGTGACGATGATGATGCCCATACGGGCGAGCGCCAAATTGATGCTCTTGATCTGCCCCGCCAGCCCCTCGTTGCCGCGCCCCTGCCCGTGCTGGCCGCTGCTTGACGTGCTCGGTGCCCACACCGATGGCGCTCGGGAGGACCGCTGCTCACCCGGCAGCTGCGCAACCGCCGGTGGCTCTTCCCGTGAGGTCGCCGAGGCTGCAGCGTACTGGCGCGACTCCCGAGCTGCCCGGCAGAGCGGCCGAAGATCCTCTCCAGCTGCGGCCCGAAGGGCGGCTGCTGCGAGCCGTCCGTTCCCCGGCTGCCTTCTCTGGGGATGCTCGGGCCGGCACCTCCCGGACCACGGTGGCCTCCTGCAGCGGTAGGCGTCGGGCAGGAGCTGGCCGCTGAGCCGCAAATGCGGCAAACATATGGCCACTTGCCTTTTGAAGTGTCACACACGGCCAAACATATTTCACCCGTGCTGGGGGCCTAGAGAAACACCGTCGGATGACCTGAGATAGAGGGTCAGCCACGGGGGCCCGGCGAGGCGCACGCACACAGACGCACACACACACACACTTGCAGACTGAGGACATGCTCTAATGGCCAGGTCCACGCTCGGAGTTGCGACAACATGCCCCTGGGTCGTGCGCACGGCATTTACGCATGTCCTTGCCTGGGCGTCGAGGCTCTTCACTGCGTTTCCCAATTCTTATCAATGCGTTTCATTATATAAATTCGTTCCCAAATTCTTCTCGGGCTCCGACGAAGCTGAGCAACAAATCCCTGAACTGCGAAGGCTGGAATGACCGCTGCCCCCAACGACGCGTCGCTCAGCATGCCATCTATACAAATCATATGTCTCGACCCACTGCGGCGAATTGGAGCCATCGAGATGCCCAAATCGTTATTTGTTGTTGTTGTTCGATCCTGCCTACGGCAAAGTTGAGCAGTTCAACGCAAGATCTCCATCTGGGCCCTTTGACTTCTGGCAAGCTTTGACGAACCAGGGGGCAAGCCTTGCTGTAACTTCGTCGACTGCTTCTTGCCATAACCATTCAAACGAAACCTGCAGACCTCTGCCACATTACGAACAGCCTGTGTGGCCACGCAGCCACACGCAAGGCAGACTGTGCCCCCGAATTCCTTGTGATAAGCCAAGGTACGGGAGGTGTGCAAGTCTTTGCCGTTTACCATGCTCTTTGCGGGCAATATCATCAACCCTTTAAACACGCCCTTGTGGCATGGGGTCGCTAAACATTTGTCTGCCATCTTGCACGGAACACATCCCCCGCACGTGTGGCATCTGACCTGGGAGCCGATTCTCATGACTGGCTGGTGGGCTGTGAGCGCGAGCTGGATCTTGATCTCGCGCCTCTTGGGGCAGAGCGTGGCCTCTTTCGGCTCTGTTCCCATCGGCCTCGATCGGCGCTAGAAGTTAGTGGCCCAGGTGCTGACGGACTTGGAAGGCAATCGCTTGGGCGTGGGACCTGGGAAGGTCCTCGTGAAAAGGAGGTGGAAGAGGAGGAGGACCAGTGGACATCCAAGAGTCATCAACGATGTTGGAATACACCCTCCCTCCAAACCCCCTCTTCATAGGCTTCACAACGGTTCATTTCCACCGAAGGAATTGTTTGGTTGGAAGACAACCGATTCGAGAACCTGAGCATGCCCACACATTGTTTCCTGACTGTTGCGTCTTGGCGATCTTGAGTCGTGCCAGAACGCAATTCCTGGGACTTCAACAGCGCGAATCAACGTAACTTTTGTGCCCTCATAATCCTGCATCGTTCCGAACACATGTTCGGGGTACGCTGATCATGGGAACCCGTGACACTCTTGCAAATATATAAAACGAATGTGCGCGGCGCTGAGGCGAGAACGACATTTTGAAACTGAGCCGCCCTCAATCCGTGAATCTCATGCATTTTGTACAACAAATTTGCGCGGCGCTAAGGCGATCATCACATTTTGAAAACGACCCGCTCTCAATCCGTAAAATTCTTGCAAATTATTCAAACGGATGTGCGCGGCGCTAAGGCGAGAACCACATCTTGAAAACGCCCCGCCCCCAGTCCGTGAAACTCTTGCGAATTTCTGAAACGAATGTGCGCGGTGCCAAAGCGAGAGCCACATTTTGAAAACCAGCTGTTGTCAGTTTTCCAGCTTCAGGGTTATAAATGGTGAAGAATTCTAAGGCGAAGCGCCCAGACCGCCCTAACAACTGGCCTAGGGGTGCGACATGGAACAAATATTTATAAGGAAAAGGAATGGAGGAGGAGGAGGAGGAGGGGGAGGAGGGGTAGGAGGGGTAGGAGGAGGAGGAGGAGGAGGAGGAGGAGGAGGAGGAGGAGGAGGAGGAGGAGGAGGAGGAGGAGGAGGAGAAGGAGGAGGAGGAGGAGGAGGAGGAGGAGGAGGAGGAGGAGGAGGAGTAGGACAAACTAGGTGCACTCGCGTCATATCTGGCGTCCTACCTCTTTTTCGCGCAGTCAGATGTCGAACAGGGCAATGATCGCGAGAGGGTGCGCGATGCATCGTGCAGTACGGCATGGCACGGTGTAGAAGAGCACGGCAGAGCGTATAATGTCATAGCATGGCGTGGCATGACGTGTGAAGCATCGCATCACAAAACATTGCAACGCGAAGCATGGTATCGCACACAGCGGCGCACAATCTGGCAGGGCACCGGGTTCCTTGGAGGGTCAATGGGTAGTCTTCGAAAGGTCGGGGCTGGTCTGGAGTCGTGGCTCCATGTTTAGTTCCCTGGGTTCCGCGAGAAGCTCCTCACAAGGTGGGGCTGATGGAGAGCACCTGCTGGCTCTGCTTGCAACATTGCTTTCTGAAAACAGAAACAAAGCTCCCGCTTGATACTTCCTTCAAACGCCGCCGCCCCGAAGTGTGGGGGGCCTTCTGCGGCCCCAAAACTGAACGAATCGACGCCGGATGTGTAATCGCTTGCGATTTTTTCCTGGGGGTAATTGTCTGAATGTGGAACCGATTTGGAAGGACCGAAAACGACCGCGCTGAAGCGGCAGCACGTTTTGGAACAACCAAAGGCGCAGAAGTGGTGCCAGCGCTGCAGCGGGAGCAACATTTCGGAGGACCAAACAACAATCGGATTGCCAAAAACACATGACAACCCCGAAAAAGGAGCCAACGCTGCAGCGGGAGAACGATTCGGAACGAGCGGAAACGCGGAAATGAAACCAGTGCTGCAGCTGGAGCACGCTTCGGAACGATCAGAAGGTCGAACATAAAGCCAGCTTTTTAGCGGGAACAACATTTTGAAAAACCTTTCGAAAACCCAGATCCCTGGAATCCAGTGTGTAGAAAATAACAAGCGGAGGGGGGGCGAGCATCTTCCTGACGTCATCCGGGGAGAGAAGAAAGTAGTATTCAGATTGTGTGATTGTAAAAAAGGAGGATGATGATGAGGAGGAGGAGGTGGAGGATGAGGGGGATGGGGAAGGAGCAGGAGGAGGAGCAGGAGGAGGAGGAGAAGGAGGAGCAGGAGGAGGAGGAGGTGGAGGAGGAGAAGGAGGAGGAGGAGGTGGAGGAGGAAGAGGAGGAGGAGGAGGAAGAGGAGGAGGAGGAGGAAGAGGAGGAGGAGGAGGAGGAGGAGGAGGAGGAGGAGGAGCGGGACGAAGAGCAAGAGAAGGGGTGGGGAAGGGCACCCGCGAACCGCGCCGCGGCCTTCTTGGGGGCCAGCCTGCCGGGGGGGGCGCCCAGCGAGGGAAACAGCTCCTCGTCCTGGACGTCCTGCGCGAACACCTCCGCCTTCGGCTTCGGCTTCCTCCCGGGCCTGCCCTGGCCGTTCTCCAGCGCTGGCCCGTCGGCCCACCCCGAGTCGCCCGCGTCGGGGCAGGTGGGGTCCTCTGTGAGCCTGGAGGAACCACAAGGTGCACAGACGTAACTTCTCGGAGGTCCGCGCGGATCTCTTGGATCGGCGCTGCACCCTCCTCCCTGACGCAGGGAGCGTGCCAGGGGCGGCGCTGCGAGGGGGGCGCGGGCGCGGACGCAAGCAATCCGCGCGGAGCTCCAAGTGATGCTCACGCCGTCGTTTGTTGCTCGAGGGCCGCAGGAGGGAGGCGAGCTCGGCACTCGCCGCCTCGACGCGCCTCTTGACCTCCGCGGCCTGGCCGTACTCCTCCTCGGCCACGGCGCGCTGCTTCTGCCGCTGCAGGTCCTCGAGCTCGGAGCGCACCGCCTCGATCCGGCGCTCCGCGCTGTGCTCGACGCTGCCGTCCCCGCCGGCGTGCGCGGGCCGCAGCCGCACGGCGAGCTCGTCGTCTCCGGGCGCCAGGACGGTGTCGAAGACGCTCCAGTGCCTGGACAGCCAGGAGCGGCCGAGGTCGGCGAGGTTCTCCTCCGACATCAGCCGCTTCACCTCCGGGTCCGCCCCGAGCTCCCCCCTGCAGTTGTCCTCCCCCCCCTCTCTTGCTCATCCTCATCGTCATCCTCGTCGTCCTCGTCGTCCTCGTCGTCGTCGTCGTCGTCGTCGTCGTCGTCGTCGTCGTCGGTGTCGTCATCGTCGTCGTCGTCGTCGTCCTCCTCCTCCTCCTCCTCCTCCTTCGCCTCGGAATCAGCCTTCAGCTCCCTCAGCGTCACTGGCCCAGCTGCGTCCTTCTGGCCGAAGCTGCAACGGGTGCACCCACAAGAAAGGTCTGGGGCCAGAGGGTTCACCATCAGGGGGAGGACTTGGTAGAGCCTCCCTCACCTGTTGGTCCTCCCTTTGCCTTACTCGAGGGCATGCTAACAGCCCTCATAAGAGACACCCCTGCAAGCGATGCCATGTAGTAAACATGCCAGAGGAAGGAATCGAACAGGGCAGGGCTGTGTAGTAAACGCACGGGACTGTTGAGCAAACGCCAGTGATGAGGGTCGGGGTTCTCCTTTGGGCTGACACTCTGCTTTCAGCTGGCCAAAGTCCTGAACCAGCGAGGCAACGCGACGCAGCAGTCGCGTGCCTGGGCGCCACTGCAACACCTCTGGTCTCACGAGTTCGCGCTGCCACGAATTCTCTCCAAACAGCGAGTCTGACGACGGCCGTGACGGATCTGAAGCTCCAAGATTCGCGAGCGCAAGTCGCAAGTCGTCTGGAATCGGGCACAGCACCTGCATGTGCTTGCCGTTGATGTCGCAAAAGCAGAGCCGGTAGCTGTGAAGGAACAGCCGTGGGCAGACGCTCGCACGGTCCTCCTGCAGTTGAGCCTCTGAGAGGTACTTGTCGTCTGCCACCAGCGGGTGCCCGATGTGCGCCATGTGCACCCTGATCTGGTGTGTACGGCCGGTCGTGATGTCACAGGCGAGCAGGCTGTAGGCGTTGTGGTGCTCCACGCCCGAGCCGTGGTAGGTGGCGACAACCTCAAGGGCTCCTAACTTCGCGCTTCGCGCTCCGCGAAGCGCGAATAACTTCGCGCTCTCGCGCCGCCCCCCCAAAGGGAGAAAAGGAGGATGAGGAGGAGGGGGAGAAGGAACGAGGACCGCGAAGCGCGAATAACTTCGCGCCCTCGTGGGAGCCCTTGCAACCTGGTACGTGGTCTCGGCCCACTCCCCGCTGCTGGACACCTCGGAGCGGCTCATCGCGTCGGTTCTGATGGTGCGAATCCTGGCGTCGATCACTCCCTTCGCCTTCGCGACCTTGCCCCGCACGAGGCAGATGTAGCGCTTCGAGACCTCAGTCTTGTGAAACTGGGCCTTCAAGTGCCTCTGCGCCCCCTTCGTCTTTGCGACAAGCAAGAGCCCGCTGGTCTCCTGGTCGATGCGGTGGGAGAGGGGGCCAAAGCCTGTTCCAGATATTGCAGGGTTGAAATCCTCCTTGTAAAGTTCGGCATCGATGTCTTTCACAGCCTCCTTGACCCATCGGAGGAGGAAAGGATTGTCTCTTTTCCTATCTGCTTGCGGGGGGTCGTCGAGAGTATCTGCAGCTGGAAGCTCACACTTCCAGTACGGTGGCTTGTAGATCACAAGCATCTGCTCCAGGTCAACTACCACCTGAACGCCACACACAAACACAAGGACATCGACATCTTTGGGGATGGCGTCTGCTCAACATGTGAACTGATCTTCGAAAAGCGAACCATGCCGGCGCGTGCGAGAAACTGTTCCCCAGTGGGCTTTCCTCATGCTCTGCGGCCACCTTCCCCCTTCTCTTACTCAGCAAATGTTTGCCAGCGTGGCCCCCCAACGATGGGCTCCTCCAGTGCCGATGCGCACTCTGCGTGATGCAATCTATGGGGCGCACTGCAGGTGGTGCAATCTGCGTTGTGCAAGTGGACTAATCGAGCAAATTGAAATCGCCACCTCCAATGCTCCAATAAGCATCCCGCCCGCCCGCAACTGTCTGGGAACACTCAGACGGCCGTGAGTAGAGTTCCCGGTCGGAGCCTGCGAGCAACCCCCTACCAGGCGCAATGACGTCAGGGGTAATCTGGAATCACTTTCAATGAGATCAACTGCTTGCATATGTGGTCGAGGAGCTCTAGTTCGAAACGCTTCAGCAGCCAGTGGTGCTTGCATGGCTTCGACTTGCTCGCCCGCGGAAGGGGCGCGCGCGTGTGGCCGTCATCTGATCAATTGTCAGAGCTGACAGGGTGCATCTGCAACTAACACCTTTATGACTTTCGGACCTCTCGGGGCTGCGGCCCCCATGGGACCCATAGCTCCTCTGAGCGCCGAGTGCCCCACGAGTGAGTTTTGTGGGCTTCGTTGGCCCAGTGAACCGCAAGTGTATGAACACTGCGGGCCCCATGCGCTCGCTGTACGCACCAGGGAACCCATGGGACTTATGAGCCCTCATGGAAAAATTGGCCCTCTGAGCCCAACGGGCCCCATCAACATGATGGGCAGATGTGCCGCACTGGCCCTGGTTGAGCCCTATGAGTCCCATGGCCCGCCTCAGCCATATTAAACTCTCCAAGGCTCCCCGGAGCTCTTCGGAGCTGCCAGGACGGCCCCTAGAGAGCCCCGAGTTGGCTCACGAGGGCCTCCAGAGAACCTCCCAAGACGCCTCTCTGGGGCCTTTCAGGAACCTCCAAAAAACCTCCAAGAAATCAGGAGCCTCCAAGAAGCCTCACACAAACCATGGCGTCTTGCATACATGCATTATGAAGAAACCTGCCGGGAAAGAACCCCCAAAACCGGGAAAGGCCAGCGTTCACCTGGGAAAAATCACTTGGCCCCCGAAACGCGAGACACCGCGCGAGCTGGGCAATAGTCGGGTGTTGCTAGAAGTGCCCCTGGCCTAAGATGCCCCCAGCTTTTCGCTCCATTGTGGACCCCCTCGTGAGGGGCCGTAAGGGGTGCTCTTGGGGCTGTCTGGGCCACCCCGAGAATCCTGGGGGTGCCTTAGGCCAGGGGCACTTCTAGCAACACCCTAAACAGGGCGGGCACGTGGCGAACTCCTTGAAATTCCAGCCAACGCACGGGGGGGGGGGGGGGGCACGGACGGGCGGGCGGGCACCGGGCGAACACCCGTGACACACACACAGACACACAGACACACAGACACACACAGACATACACAGACACACACACACACAGACACACCCACAGATACACACACAGACACTCAGACACTCAGTCACACATAGACACGCAGACGCACACACAGACACACAGACACACACAGACACACATATACACAGTCGCACAACACACACAGACACACACAGACACAGACACACAGACACACAGACACACAGACACACAGACACACACCGACACACACACACACACTTTTTGCGTCGTCGGCTGGGCAGAGGGCGACTGCTCTGGCGGATAGGCAACAGAGGACACGCTGTATACAAGTTAAGGCCGCAATGCACGGAAGGAGGAGGAGGAGCCCCGGCGCGACAGGAAGAGAGGAAACTGGGCCACTCAGAGCTGCCCGCTGCGGCGGGGGGAGCGCCGGGGGGTGGGAGCAGCGCCGGCACAGGCTGTACTGAACTGCGCTGAGCTGAAGCTGGGGGGGGCAGCCGGGAGCTGCAGCTGGTGGTGAAGAGAAAACGAAGCGTAGCGCAACCCCGTGGACCGAGCACAGTCCAGGGATGAGCCAAGGCGCCGAGACAGACACACACACAGACACACAGACACACACACACAGACACGAAGACACACAGACACACACACAGACACTCAGACACACAGACACGCACACAGACAAACAGACACACACAGACCCACAGACAGTCACAGAGACACACAGACACACACAGACACACACACAGACACACACACACAAACATACAAACACACAGACGCACAGACAAACAGACTCACAGACACACAGACACACAGACACACGGACACACAGACACAGACACACAACGCACACAACACACACAACATAGACCCACAGACACACACACGGAGACACACAGACACACACACACACATACACACAGACACCCACAGACCCACAGACACACAGACACACACAGACACACACACAAACATACAAACACACAGACGCACAGACAAACAGACTCACAGACACACAGACACACAGACACACGGACACACAGACACAGACACACAACACACACAACACACACACAACATAGACCCACAGACACACACAGAGACACACAGACACACACACACATACACACACAGACACCCACAGACCCACAGACACACAGACACACACAGACACACAAACACACACAAACACACACAGACAAACAGACGTGCAAACACACGGACACACAGACACACAGACACAGGCACAACGGCACACGGGCACACACACACACACACACCGACACACAGACACACAGACACACACACACACAGGCACACAGACACATCGATATACAGACACACGGACACACAGACACACGGACACACAGACACACAGACACACAGACACACAAACACGCAGACACACAGACACACTGACACACAGGCACACAGGCACACACACACAACACACACACAGCACACAACACACAGACACACGACGCACAACACACAACACACAACACACAACTCACAACACACAACACACAACACACGGCACACAACACACAGCACACAACACACAGCACACAACAGTTAACAGACTACGCACACAACAGACAAGACACAATCCACAACACGCACACCATACAACAGACAACAGACAACATACAAAACACAGCACACACAGCACACACAGCACACACAACACAGCACACAGCACACAACACACAGTACACAGCATACAGCGCAGAACACGCAACACACAACACACACAACACTCACACACACACACGGCGCAGGGAGCGGGCACGCTGCGGGCACGGGCGGGCATCGAGCGACATCCTGGAAAAGCAAGGCAGAACACGGGGCGCACACGAAGCGGGCGCTGGCGAGCACCGAGCGGCGAAAGCCCCTCCTCCTCCTCCGAGCCAGCCACCCAACAGACAAGTCATAGCAATCACTGTTCGGGGAAGTACCAGCTCCCTTCCCCCCACCGCCAGCCCAAAGACAATCAAGCCGTGCCGCGGCCGAGTCAGGCGGAAGCTCCTTCCCTTCGGCCACTTCCCATTTGGGCGGGGTGTTCCCTCGAGGGGAGGGGGGGTGGTAGGTGTGCGGGAGGAGAGGGGGCCGGGCGTGACGCAGGAACAATCTTTACACGGTAGTCCCCAGAAGACCAACTAGGATGCCGCCAGAGTGGCTCAAGATGCCTTGAGCGAGCGCTGCGAGGTCCCAAAATTCCACCAGAGGCATACGAGAAGCCCCCGAAGATGCCCCCGACTGCAAACTTCACTCGCAGACAGATGGGCTCTCGATGTTCGAAACTCTTGCCCACAAGACAAGCTCAGAAGGGCCGTGGATGGCCCCAAGACAGCCTGAGAGATCCCCCAGACGCCCCAACAGGGCCCAAGCTGGTCCCTAGAAGGCCCCGAGGTGGTCAAGGATATTCTTGGATAGGCCTAATAAGACTCATATGATGGTGAAAAAGGGAACGCTCTGGGGGGCAAGTGCGGTCCAGGAGGAAGTTCGTCTCGGGCCGAGTCGGGCGCTCTCTGGGGCCATCTGTGTAAACTTGCCTGCTGGGGCCATCTTGAGTCCACATGGGGAGAGTGTTCAACCATCTGAGCGACGAACACAAGGCGGTCTTACGTGAGATGGCTCAGCGAACTTACGCGGTGGCTTACGCGGGCCGCCAGCGCGACACGCCACGTGGAAGACAGAACGCTGACGCGCGACCTTTCGCGGACCGCTTACGCGCGTGTTGGCGCAAACGACCCAACTTTCTCATCCCGCTCATCTGGGGTCCACTTCGGCCACCTTCAAATTTCCGTGGGGCCACTTTCCGCCAGCTTGGTCCCCAGCTGGGCTACTCATGCGTGCCAGCCTGGCTGCCGCAGTTCGGCCGACGGGGGCCCACTTGGGCACTGGCTGCCCCCCCCCACCCCCCGATTCCTAACTGCTGCCCTCCTGCCACCCTCTGAATCTGCACTGCTGCGCGTGCTCTTTTTCTGCCGTGTCCCTGCCCCACGTCCCCCGCCTCACCCTCTCCCTTTGCAGCGCCCGCCCTTTGCGCTCTTGCGCCAAACTCGTTTCGGGCTCGGCGGAACGCTTCGCACGGCCCCCGCAAGAAGCCTCGGCAGCACTCCTGCCCCAATGGGGGTCGGGGTTTCGTGGATGCGTTGTTTTCCGGGCTGCCTCGGGCAGCGGCCATGTGGAGCCAGCTCCGCGGCCGCGCGTGCTCTTGCCCACCTCGGCTCTTTCTCCTGCTGCGGGTCCAACTGCGCCGGCCGCGCGTGGAGCGGGGACCCACTTCGGTGTGGCTGCCACGTCAGACTTGCCAACTCCCTTGGCCCCCCTGGCCACGTCAGACTTGCCAGTTCCCTTGGTCACGACCTTACTCGGCACGCGCGCCAGAGCTTCTATGGCTCTTAGCTCTGCAGCGGTGGCCTCTGCGGTTTTCCGCCACAAGAAAGCCGCCTTCTTCTGCGCTCTGTCGCTGGCGCGGTACCATTGTGCTTTCGCCGGCTTGGTGTTCAACTCGACTGGGTCAAGGAAATACGACTCTCCCCACCAGAGCTTCTCGCCTGCCTTGTCGTACGCGAGCCGGAACTTCCGCTCACCCTGCCCGTTTTTCCGCGTGCACGACCACTGTGTGTCCGAGGTGAAGGCAAATACGTACGTCTCGCTCAGATCACTCTCCTTGGCCCATGTGCCGCTCAGGTTCTTCTTCACCTGCGCGAGGGAAATCTGTGACATTGCCTCTGCATCTAGGCAGCGCGGGCGCACTTGACACTGACACTAGGCCAGTTCACGTGCAGTTCTAGCTGTCCGACTGGGCCCCAACTGTACGCCCACACCGATCCTGGCCAGGTCCACAAGGGGCCCAGGAGCGGCTATACGCCCTTCTGGCTTGACCAGGAAGGCCTATACACCGATCTTGTATCCAGGATCGGCCTGCCCAGGATGGGTGTAGGCGCATAATTGGCACCCTGACGCCGAAGGCACATCGCACGCATATTCATCTGGCTGTCCTGGGCCAAAGCGGCTGCCGATGCCGCGCGACGAAGCAGATGTCAGGTCCTGAGGGTGCCCGCGCGAATTCGGGAGCATCGCCGACGTCAGCAACGTGGATGCGTAAACTGAGCCACTTGTGTGGGGAGCAGGAACGATTGCAGGATCGGGACGACAGTAGGGCGGGATAGATGGTGAATCTCTTGGATCCGGCGGTTCTGAGGGATGTCTCGGGCGCCGCGGTTTTCTCAGAACGCCCTGGGACGCTCTGAGAGCGCCCTGGAACGCTCTGGAGCGATTCATTCTGATCCTAGGCCTGCCTGACAAGGGCGATCTGGCACCCTTAGATCTTGACTGGCGATCCCAACGTGTCGCAAACCGAGGCTGCGGGGGGGCACTCGCGGCACCGTCGTCGTTCACGCACCCCTGGCCAGGCAAGGGGTGAAGAAGCATGGAGAGGGGTGGACCAGCAGAGAAGAGTGAAGGGAGGAGATGCAGGGAGAGGGAGGAGGTGGGAGGCAGGGAGGGGCGAGGGGAAAGGAAGAAGGGGGGAAAGGGGCAAGATGACCAGAGCGACCCAACCCCAACCCCGCTCCCGCTCCTGCCCCACCCCCTCCCCTCTCCCTCCCCTGAGAACCGACGTTGCGAAACATCTGTAGCATCGCGATGAGTTGCAACCCAAACCAGGTCCTGGGGCCCGAAACAGGGAGAAACCGCCCTGTGTGAAAAGTTACAAGGCCAGGATCTCAAGGCCCCTCGCCCTTCCTTCCGCCTCCCCGTTTTTTCTTCGCCCTTTCCTCCTGTTCTTCCTCCTCCTCCTCCTCCTCTCCTGCCCCGGCCGCCGCGGCGTGGACTTGGCGCGCGCGCGCGCGGGCTCCAACACTTTTTGCGTCGGCGGCTAGGCAAGGTAACTGCGCTGGCGGAGGGCTACCCAAACGGGGGTGCCGTTGTTGCGACTTGTGCCACCATGCAGGTGGTAGGGGAGAAAGCAGCGGAGGCGGCCGAAAGAGGGGCGGAAGGGGCGAGCCGCTCAGGGGGACGGGTCACGCCCCGAGCGTGTGGCGCGGCCGGCCCCGCCGGCAGGCCCGCGGCGGCTGCTGCACCAGGGGGTCGGCACCAACACAGGCCTCCACTGGGAGACGATGATCCCAGATTCTGGAGTCGGTGGTAATGCTTCGGCCACCCAAGGAGCCCGAAGATTACCACAACTACCGAGATCGGGATCATCTTCCCTCGGTGGAGGCCCGCCGTTGATATTGGTACTGGCGCCAACCTCTAGGCTTCTGATCTCCCGCCCCTCCTCCCCGCGTGCCGTTCCCCGCCTCTCGAGGATCGACAGAGCACCCTCTAGCAAAACGCCCGTAATCAAAAACTTCCAGGAACACTCCGCGTACGCACGGCACCGCGTTCCGAGTGGACCCGAGCAGGATAGCTACATACTCTGCTTCCGCTACTCCCATGTCGCGGCCCTATAGTGCTTCCTTGTTCCTGAGACACGAGTCTATACTGTTTCGTGGAACTCAGTACCAAATGTACGTTAGCTGGAGGGGTTCAGGGATTCCAATGGCAATGCGCGCGCGGAAGGACAAACATCCACGCGCCGCCACGGGTCCCGGGTTTAACGGGTCGCCACGAAGGTGGAACCCCCACGGAAAGAAGAAACGGCATCCAACTGGGGGGGTCGGGGGGGTCAGGCATCCAACCGGCAAACTATGCGTCCCGCGCCCCAGCAGACGAAGCTGGCACCGCGGCGAACCCACGGTACACCCATCGCGCAAGAGGCCGCGTTTGCCCTGGTGACCGAGGCGCCCTCCCCAAGACGAAAGGCCACGTGTCGGAACAAACAGCGCGGCGACAAATGTTGTCCAAAACAATGGACAACGCCCGCGGCGGCACGGACAGGGGGCCCTGTTCAAAGCGAGCGGGCACTGCTGCCATAGAAGAAGCAAGAACGGCACAAACATAAACCATCAACGTTTGGCGCTCCCGCGGATTCCTTGGATCCGCGCTGGCCCCCCCCCCCGGCGGCGCCTCTGGCGCGGATCCACGACATCCGTGGGGAGCGCCACAAGTTTATGTTTGTGGCGTTTTCTCTCCTTCGATGTCAATCCTCGGCCTCAGTCTTTCCGTACCCATGTCGACCGTACCGATGCTGCGGCAGCCGGCCCGCTGGCGAGGGGGTGCGGGCCAGTGCCCGCGCGCACACCTGGCGCGCGGTGGGCTTCTCGGCGCGGGGGCGGCCGCGGGGCTGCCCCTCCCCCCCCCTGCCGTCTTCTCCAGTGCCTCCTGCTGATCGCATCCTTGTTCCCTCCTGCTCCTCCTCCCTCCTCCCCTCCTCTCCCTCGCCCTGATCCCTTACTCCCTCTCCCTCTCGCTCTCTCCCCTCCTGGTCCTCCCGATCCCTCCTCCCTCCCTCCTGCTCCCCGTCCTCCCTCCTCCCTCTCTCCTGCTCCTAATGCTCCCTCCTTCCTGCTACCCGCTCCTTCTCCTGCCCCCTCCTCCCCCTCGTCCCGCATCCCCCCCCTCGTCCCGCATCCTCCCCCTCGACAACTACTCAATGTAAATGCTGCTCCCCTCTCTCCCCCCCGAAGACGGCGGCCGGGGACTCGCCCGCACCCCTCCGCGCACGGCTCTTTACGCACAAGGGTTCACGATTTGGTCTTCCCCATTTTTTCCAATGCGAGCGTTTTTGTTCGGTCTCGGCATGGTGCTGCCGCTGCAGCGCTGGCCTCATTTTAGGATCGGTGCCAAGGGCTCCCAACTTCGCGCTTCGCGCTGCGCGAGGCGCGAAGTGCGAATAACTTCGCGCTCCCGTGCCACCTCCCAGGGGAGAAGAGGAGGATGAGGAGGAATCGGAGCCGAACCGCGAAGCGCGAATAACTTCGCGCCCTCGAGGGGGGCCTTGGGTACTCTGCTCCCATCGTTCAGAACTGCGCCCTCGCCCCGGCCGCGGGCCACTCTGCTGGATCCGAGAGCTGCCCCGTCGCTGTCCCTCCTTCTCGTTTTGCGGACGGCCGAACCGATCCTCCTCCCGCTCTGCCACGGCCTCCTCCGCCTGGTCTGAGCCCCTGGGCGATCGGGAAGACTGAGGACTGCAGACTCGGCGAATTGGAGAGAAATGAAGGAGAGTGGGAGGAAGAGGAGCGGTAGTGGAAGGAAAAGGAGAGCACGATGAGGAAGATGGAGGCGGATATGAGCCGCCACTGGATACCGATCCAGCCATTGCAACCAGTTCCTGCAAGAGTAACATCCTGGACACATTGACGGTTGCCAGGACGTGGCGCTACCAACACCAACTGCGCCGAACCCCAGCCCCAAAGGGAACTCAGAAGTACCACATGCAAAAGCAAGCCCTCACGGCGGTCTGCTCGGGCTCTTGAAACCGTTTGATGTGCCGTTCTCGTGCTGGAGGTGGCGCCTTGAGCTCGCACCATCGTCGGGCGCCAGATGATCCAAGCGTTGGTTGCCGGCGAGAGGCTCGGACTCTTCCTATCACTGAAAGCAAATCATCACCGGATCTCGGATGCCCCAATCTAAAACGTGTCGTAACGGCCTCTGACTGCCCATCGATACCGAACGTACAGTGGCTCTGCATGGCTCAACGCTCCCCGCAGACGTTCAACCTGCGGCAACTTCCTGCCTGGATAACGCGGGCCGTGGTTTCTGACAGTGCGAGACCCGTTCAACCTTCAGGGATCTCCCTTCTCGGGGGTCCCAGTCAGAGCGGGGAGAACACCCAGGACCCAGGACCCGTTTCCCTCAGGGCCCGCCTGCTGCGTGACGACCTCTGCTCCCTGTCCCCCTCTTTTGGCCTCCTCGCCGCGCGCCCCGACCGCCGCCCGAAAGCACAAGGCCGTGCGGGCCGTGGGCTGTCCGGAGGCACGAAAAGAGACCTCTACCGCTACTCCCCGGGCCTCTCTCGGGGTGCGCTCTGACCAGAATTTTGAGGGGAATCCAGCGGTGGTGACGAGGGCCTCCCAGGAGGCCCAGGGAACCGAACACGAGGCAAGGCAGGAAAGCCCAACATCGAATGGATACGTCCGATCGGCGATCGAAAGGAATCGGATCCGCGCATAAATCGGCAATCAAGTCGGAGGAAGTCGAATCGGCAGACACCGGCAGGCTAATATGGCCTCCATTGAGAAATCGGAATCCAAATCGGAATCCGTAGTCGAATCGAACCGGAATCGGGATCGATCGAAGTCGAATCGAATCGAGTCGGAGGAGTCGAAATGAGCCCTGCAAGTTCGAGGCGGTTGGTGGGTCTGAACTGGTTTGGACTGCAGAAGATCGGTCAGGAGCGGGGATGAGGCCACATCCTGTCAAAATCTGTCCCTCCAGATTCGTTCTTCACGGTCCCATGGCCCGAAAACGGCCCCCAGCCCGAAGGCCGAGAGCGGCAACAAACTGTTCCGAATCCAGAGCCTCGAACCTGCCCGCCCTGCCTGCTGGCTGGAAGCGATGCTGGGCCACCTCAGATCCCCAGCCGGCTCCAACCTGCAATTGCAGCGGTATCGGTACCCTTTCCTCCTCAGACGCTCTGCGCGCGTTGCCGCCTCAGCCGCCCCGCTGCTGCGCGGGGGAGTCGACGTGCCGGGACCCGAGCGGCCGCAGGGGCTCGGGCCGGAAGAAGGCCCAGTCGATGCCCTTCTCGAGGCCCCGCTCTCGGTTCTTCTCGCGGTTCAGCCCCGCGGGCCCCCGCCGAGGCAGAGACTGCGTGGAGAAAGGGGGTGGCCGGGGGGCTC